CCAGGCTGTAGGTAGATTTAAATATTTTCTGAGTAGAGTTGATTTAAAAACCTGGAATCGGCCGGGCGCGGTGGCTCACGCCTGTAATCCAAGCACTGTGGAGGCCAAGGCAGGCGGATCGCCTGAGGTCGGGAGTTCAAGCCTGACCAACATGGTGAAACCCCATCTTAAAAAATAAATAAAAATAAAAACCTGGGATCAACAGAAAGAAAATGTTTGGGTTAAGATACAGGATTGTGGAGACCAAAGTGCTCATTTGCAGAGGAAGTCTTTAGGTAGCAGGCTTCAGAGAGAATGAAATGTAAACTATTTCTTATCAGACCTCTGTGTGGATGTTACTGCTGGAGGCAAGTCCGACTCCCACTTCCCATCATGGCCTGAACCAGTCTTTCAGGTTAAATTTTAAGAGTGCCTTGGCAGAGGAGGAAGTCCATTCAGATGGCTGGGTGGGGGGGAGGGGGAGCTCAAAATTTTATTTTTGGTTTACAAAAAGTTTGGGATATGGGGGACACTGCTCATGGCTGGTCATGAGTTCAAGAGTGGGGAGGGCCGGGCGCGGTGGCTCAAGCCTGTAATCCCAGCACTTTGGGAGGCCGAGGCGGGTGGATCACGAGGTCAAGAGATCGAGACCATCCTGGTCAACATGGTGAAACCCCGTCTCTACTAAAAATACAAAACATTAGCTGGGCATGGTGGTGTGTGCCTGTAATCCCAGCTACTCAGGAGGCTGAGGCAGGAGAATTGCCTGAACCCGGGAGGCGGAGATTGCGGTGAGCCGAGATCGCGCCATTGCACTCCAGCCTGGGTAACAAGAGCAAAACTCCGTCTCAAAAAAAAAAAAAAAGAGTGGGGAGGGGTTGGGGGAACTGGGGATGGGGAAGGGGTCTGAGAAGGGCATATACAGAGCTGCCTGGGGCAAGGGGTGGCCTGGGGGACTCAAGCTCTCCATGCAGAGGGAGAAGAAGCATCATCAGCTTCATCCTGGGGTCACAGTGGCAGGCAGTGCGGGGAGCAGCGGCAGTCATGGAATTTGCCAGGAGAGGAGGCAGCGGAGGGTGGTCTTACTCAAAGGACCCTCCCTGCATGCTAGTATATGCCTGGGAGCTGGGAAGGGGTTGCTTTTGCCCAAGCACGTGGGGTCCCACTTGTCCCCAGGCAATGGTGGCTGGCAGAGGCTCATCGCCCTAGGCCAAGTGCAACCTTCCCCACCCAGGAGGCCACACCCTCCCTCACAACCCAGTGCCTGATTGCTGCCAGCAGGGAGAGTAGGCACCAAATGGTCCTGGCCTCAAGGCAGAGCCAACTGTGAGGTACGATGCTCCTGAGCTCCCCTCGCCCAGCCAGGCGGAAGCAGTCACAGCCTGGCTCAGCTCTCTGCACCTGCTCTCTACCCCCACTCTCCTTTCCTAGGAGTAGCTGCCCTATAATCACTTCCACAGGAATTCCATCTCGGCTCTGCTTGCAGGAAACCTGACCCAAGACAGAGGTTACTGCAAGGGCAAAGACCACAGGCATCCACACCAGCCTCCAGGCGTCCACGCTGGCCTCCCTGCGTTCAGTCTGTGAGGGCCCCACCGCCCCACAGCACTCCTCCAAGCCTCCTGGACCCTGGAGTCTGCAGGCCAGCTCCTCACTGGCATCTTTCCTTGCTCTGACCGCTGCCTCTGCTTCCTCTGCAAGTTCCCTCTCGCACCCTCGTGCTAGCTGCCTCTAGAGCGCTCCATCCCCTTCCCACGTGCCCTCATGGGGGGCCCCCAGAGTTCTGTCTACTCTCCTCTGGACCCCTCTGCCTCTGACTGCCACATCTATGGAGTTAATGCCCCAGGAAGGCTCCACGTCCACCCCACAGGGACCTGGACTCTCATCTCTCCCCCGAACATGCTCTCCCTGGAGACCTGGCAGTGGAATTGGCCCTGCCCACCTTCTGGTCTCCCTGACTGGAAACCTGGGCATCAGTCTGGACTCTTGTCACCAAATTCTGTCCCTTCCACCTTCACATGGCCTCTCCATCTTCACCGCCTCGGTGTCTCTATCTCGGGTCACCGTCACCTCACCTCCGGCCAAGAGCACCAGCATTCCCACTGGTCTCTGTGCTTTTCCTCAAACGTCTCTCTGTGTAAATCTCACCTCAGGATCACTCTGTGGCCCCCACCAGTCCGGGTGGAATCGTCTTTCCGGCGGCGCTGCAGTCCCGTGGGGCCGCCCCCTCCCCACCACCGCCTTGTTCCTGCACTGAGCTCCGCCAGACCACCTGCCTGCAGCCACCTGGCGCTACCTGTTCCTGTGCTTCCTGGCTTTGCCTGCAAAGAGTAACAGTTTATTCAGTCCACACTCAAGGACAGAAACAAACTGCTCTTTGGCTGTAGTGGCATGAAAGCCCCAATCAGCCAACAACAAGGCTGCATGCTTCTGAAGGCCAGCAGGTCAGGGACGGCCCCCACTACAGTCAGGCCCAGGCAGTAAGGCGCTTCTGCACCTGAAGTCAGGCTAAACACTCCTGCTTCTGAAAGCTGGCCAGTCCTCGGTGCCAGGCTTCCCAAGAGACTCCATTTGTTTTGCTCTGAGACATGGTCCTATAGCACAGCTCCCTTTGCTCTAATAAGCAAGACGCTCCGCTTCAGCGCCGGCCGGCCTCACAATCCATCCCCACCAAGGCCGAGGGCCCTGCCTCTGAGCTCCTCTAAGACCATGTCTGTCTCTGTTCACACACCCTCCCCTCACCACCTACAGACGGGCTGGCAAGGTGGGTGCTGGATGCAGGGGTGAAAAATGAACGTTCAGCCCTGGAGGAGCCCAAGAGAAGAGCATGCCCTCAGCTGGAGTCCCTGCCACGCGCCTAGCACCTGTACTGCCTACATTAACCACTGTGGTATTTTCAAAGATGGACGAGTCTGAAATGTATAATGCCCACAGGGGAGTGTGAAATATGGACAATGTAAAGATGAGGAAAAATGCAGGCCTGTGTGCCCACCACCTAGTGAGGAAAACCGCCCAGACAGCACTCTAGAAGCCTGTGCTATCCATCACATCCTCCCTCCTCCCCCGGCCCAGATGCCTCCACCTTCGCCCGGCCCCTGCCTTTCTTTAGTTTCATCGCCTGTGTACGTAGCCTCATGTACAATATTGTTATCTGGGAAACTTGACTGTTAAGAAAAGGGCTCCTAGGACCCCACACCGTGAGATGCAGGATCCCAGAAGACTCTCCTCCCAGTCCGGCTTCCGTTTCCTGTGGGTTTATAATGGCCCTTTCTGGAGACACTGGGGGCAGCCTTCACAGAGCTGGAACATTTGCAGTGAGGACCACATTCATTCCAGATGACCAACAGGAACATGCTTACAGAGGGATGGGCCAATTTGGACTGTCTCCTTCTAAGCCCACCATGACCTACCTGTAGCTCTCAGGAGTGGGGTCTGAGCAAAACATGTATGTTGGGTAGAACGGGTACTCTCTGATTTTAGGCCCCAGTAGATGGAGAGAAGAGGAGGAGCCAGGGAATGCACGGGGAAGACAGTCACAGGTGAGAGTCTAGGCCAGGTTTACCTGGGTAGCCGGTCCTGAGGTGTGAAAACACGGGATGATGGCAATGACAGCGTTTGCTCTGTCTCTGGAGTCACTTCTCGAGGTCATTCTCCCTCTGCCACCCTCCTGGGGGGTTCCTTTACCTCCTCTACCCCATACATCCCATTTAGGGAATGTGTGCTTCCAGCTAAGATGCAGTAACAGGCTGAATTTGCCCTCTTGCCTGAAACAACAGCTGGAAAAAATAAATGAAACGATGGCTCTGAAAATACTAGAAAAGCAGCAAAGGACAGCAGAAGATCACCTTGATTCCAGGCACCTGAAATCTTCTCTGGACCAACGGAAGATACAATTTAAAAGTAAATTAGGGTAGGCCCAGTGGCCCGCAACTGTAATCCCAGCACTTTGGGGGGCCAAGACAGGAGGGTTGCTTGAGCCCAGGAGTTCGAGAGCAGACTGGGCAACACAGAAAGACCTAGTTTCTACACAAAATTTAAGCTGGGCATGGTGGCTCTAATCTGTAGTCCCTACTCAGGAGGCTGAGGCGGGAGGATCGCTTTAGCCCGGGAGGTCGAGGCTGCAGTGAGCCATGATCGTGCCACTGCACTCCAGCCTAGATGACAGAGACCCTGTTCCCACCCCCTCAAAGGAAATGAATTAACATTAATTTCTCCCAAGATGCCCGGGCTCTCTTAACCCACTTCGTCATTACTCCTCCAGTTGGAAAGTTCTCCCTCCCCAGCCAAAATCTCGCCCGCCCTTGGAGGCCTTTTCAGATCATTCTTTCCAGATGAGCTCCCCTTGTCCCTTTTCTGAGCCCAAAGCGGCCCAGCTGCCGTCTGTCTCCCTCCTTTCCCTTGTTTCCCGCGCTACCTCCAGGGCATTGCCCAACTCACTGGCCAAGCCCCCAACGAGCGGACTCGGTTAACGTTGGCTCTGGGGTTTTCCCAGGGTGTCGCGGGCTGGTGGAAAGCGCGCGAACCCCTGCAGAGCAGCAGGCGCGAGAGGCGGCGCCCCGGACGCGCTCGGAGGCAAGGGGCTCCGGGACGTGGGGGGACGCCTGCGCGGCCGTGCGTCCCCGAGACAACCCGGCCTGCGCCCACCGCGACCGGGCGCTCCGCGGAGGGCAGAGCGGGCCGCGCCAGGGTCCTCAGCGTCAGGCCGGGGCGGCCGTCCTAACCCCTCGACGGCACGGAGCACGCCAGGCTCGGCGTCAGTGCGCGCGAAGCGGGAGCGTTATCGGGCTCAGCCAGACGCGGCGTGGTTCCTGGGCTTTCCGCTCTTTCTGCGGTGCAGAGGGGGAAAGAGGCCTAGAGTCGTGCGGGTTCCCGGCTCCGGGCTCTGACTGAGGCCTGGTGCCTGCTCCCGCCCGGCCACCCACATTCTCCAGTTGTATCCCCAGCCCGACTCTGCAGCCTCGGGCCGCGCCGTGGTTGCCCGGGAAACGCACGCGTCTGCGCAGGGATTCCTGGGCTCTGGAGTTCTCCGGCGGCCTCACAGCGGCCGGCCGCTCATCGGAGAACTACAATTCCCGGGAGGCCGCGCGGCGAACGGGGCGGGGAGGTGGGCGGGGCCTTTGCCTGCTGGGGTCTCCGCACGGAGCGCCGGCTGCAGAGGAAGATGGCGTCGCGGAGGGTTGGGTCGTTTCCCGGTGGGCTCGCGGCGCTGCTGGTGCTTCTGTTCCTGCTTGGGCTCCGGCCCGCGGCGAGCCACGGCGGCAAGTACTCGCGGGAGAAGAACCAGCCCGAGCCGCCTCCTAAGCGCGAGTCCCAGGAGGAATTCCGCATGGAGAAGCTGAACCAGCTGTGGGAGAAGGCCCGGCGGGTGAGCGCGGCCCCGAGGCGGCAGGGCGGGGTTTGGGGGGCTGTGGAGAGGGGCCTGGGGACGGGGGCCCTGGTTGTTGGGCGCGGTGGAGCGGGGCCCGGGGGTCAGAGGCGGGCGGGGCGCAGCCGGGGCACCTGCGCCCGACGCACGCTGTTCTTGGCACAGCCTCCTTCAAGTGCCAGGTGGGGCGCCCCGACCCCTCCTGCAGCGGGATAGGGACCCGTGCCGGCAGCCGCGCCTTGTGGAGCAGTGGCGGCCGGCACCGCGAGAGTCAGTGTGGCGTTCCCCAGCCTGGCCGGCCTGCTGAGCCGAGCGTAGGGGCAGACCTAGGCTACCTCACAGGTCTCTTGCCTCCCAGGCCTTCGCCTCTTTCTTCACCTCATCTCCTTATGTGGGGAAACAAGCAAAACACGATGTTGGGTAGAAAGACGTGTCCAGGGACAGCAGGAATCCCAGGAGCAGGCCCGTTCTTGTTCATTTGAGCGATAAATGAGGAGATGGGATCGATTTACAGCACATTAAACGCGACCTTGGGAATGCTTAAAGTCAGTCTTAGCAGCGCGCTTACCTGACTTCCTTCATTTGAGAGGTGAAGGAACCGAGGCCCTGAGGGGAAAGGGCACCCCCCAAGGTCACTCAGCCAGTGGTGCCCCGGGACTACAGCTTCGTTATTGGTGCGTGACCCTGAGCCAGCTGCTCTCTTCTTTGAGATGCGGTTACTTCGTTTGTTAGGTGTGGTTTGCATTCCTGAAATGGGTTTTTACAAACTATGTCCACCTCCTGGGCGTCAGTCAGTATCTCATCTAAAATGCAGAAGGCAGATTAGATCTCTGTCTCAGTATTCCAGGTTTAAGCATTCCTGAGTCTTTTGAGAGGGAGAGTAAATGATTTGCAGAATAAGAAGGAACTTTGGAACAAAAAGGCAGAGGAGAAACAGGTGGGGGAGGGACCGACGGCTGGCGTGGGGCTGGGGATTGACGCCAGGCATCGGCTTGGCAGGCCCTGAGCTGCTCTGGGGTCCTGCAGTCAAGCCCCAGCGTGATCTTCAGCCTGCAGAGGTGGGAGAACACGGCTGGAGCAGCAGGGTAGCTTCCTGGAGGAAGGGACTCTGAAGGGGCTGGGGACACAGCTCGGTTTGGATGTGGTGACTGCCTCCCTGTGCCCGATGCGCTGGGCATCTGTTGAGTGGGTAGAGTTCCTCCACAGGATGAGGAAATGGGGAGCCAGGAAGAGACTCCCTGACGATTGGAGGTGGTGCTGAGGGAGCATGCTCGGGCCCAGGAACCCCAGCAGTTCCCTTTGCTTTTGGGTCCTGGCCTAGGTCCTCCACCTGCCCTACGGGCCGCCCGGCTGCACCCAGCCTTACCTGCAGCCACCTCCAGCTGGTCCTCTGCCTGCGTCAGCCCAGGCCCCCTGTGGCGATACGCCTGTCCGCAGGCTGCCCCTGCACCATCCTGGGTGCTGGGTGCTCACCTGACCGGCTTCAGTCCTGGATCGGGTCATGTCTCGTGAACTTCCCCTGAGGTCCACTGGGCACCGTGCCAGGGCTAGCTGCCCACCTCAGCTTTGGACTGAGCCTTGGGCTAGATGGTCTTTCTGGTCCCTCTAAGTCCTGAGCTTGTCACTGGGGACAAGTCTTTTCTGCTGAACACAATGTGAAGTTCTTTGTGATGAGGGTGTTTGGGGATTTTCTGTGTCTTTGTCTTCCCCCCTTCCAGAGAGCCTGGTACTCTGGCAGACACCCTCAGAGCCCATTCATCTTGATTTTCCTTCCAGATAACAGAAGCTTAGAGGGCAGCCGTGCTTGGAGGGTGTTCTAGCCCCCAGCCAGGTGTGCAGGCGTCAGACCCGGACTGGCTAATGGAGACAGGTCTGCAGAGCGGGGCCCTCAGAGCCCCACCCCATCTCTCAGGCTGCCTCCTCCCCTTGAGAAGGGCCTCTGAGGACAGGCCAGGGTGGCCTCCATAGGCACCTAGGACGCGCCAGGCCAACCCACAACTTCACAGCAGCTCAGCAAGGTTGTGCTCTTGTCCACGGAGCTCAGGTGGAAGGAGCTGGGGCGCAGTAGCTGGGCTGGAAGGGACAGTGCAGCACTGTCCACCATGGTGAGACAGGCGCAGCCTGCCAGGGGGCCGGGATCACTGCCACAGCCTGCTCCTCAGGGTGGGTGCCTCGTGGTCTGGTGCGGGCACGTGGGTGAGCACTAGCAGAATGGCGCGTGTCCTCTGAAGAGGCCATCCTGGCGGTGTTGGAACCTACGCAGCCTGAACTGTGCTCTGTGTGCAAGCTGACACCCATGGCTTAGCTGTGGACTCAGGGCCAGGGTTCCCAGGGCGTTAAGAAGCAGCAGCAGGTTGTTGGAAAGTTCCAGAGCACTCTGCTGGCACGCAGGTGCTGCTGTGTGGGGAGGACCGCTGCTGAGGTCCCAAGCAGTGCTGGGCCCCGGGTCTGGTCAGGAGGGCACAGCCAGCTCCACTGGTATCTGAGGACACAGGCAGGGGTGAAGCTCCAGGCCCCACGTTGTCCATGGGGCTGAGCCGGCTTTCTTCCCTGCGTGTGGCCCCTGGCTGGTGATGATTTGCCCCACTGCTTCATGCTTGACAGGTGCTTTTCTGCATTTGGTTTTCACAGCTCAGTTTTAACTTGATGCGTTAACATTTAACTTGACACAGAGGTAAAAGAATCCAGAAGTAGGGTCCAGGGCCCTGCACGTGGCCCGCTGGTCTTCCCCTGCGTGCAGCCAGGCGGGCCCCTTCTGCGCCGAGCACAGCAGCCTTGTATGGGGGAAAGGGGGCTGGTTTTTGGGAGACACGCAGTGTGCAATTTAAACCCTCTGGCGCATGAGAGTTGGGGAATCAGAGGGAGAAAATGACTTTCCCCTGTGGATTGTAGATTTTACAGCCCACCCAGCATCTTCCCTTGATTGTGCCAGTACCCTGGGGAGGCAGACAGGAGGAAGCCAGTGAGCGAGGGCCACAGGTTACAGGGCACGGAGCCTGCCAGGACGAGCCCAGGGTCTTCAGCTTTGCTTTCCAGCGAGCAGCCCACGGCAGTCACAGGACACCTGTGTCCTCTTCCCTGCAGCCCAGGAGGGCAGACCTGGGGCCCTCAGTGCCGGAACACACTCCAGAGTGTGGGCCAGTATTGCCTGCCCCGGGGTGCTGCTTCTGGCTCAGAGCGTCACTGTGGGCCTCGTGTCTCGGGCCCTCTCAGGCAGTGCAGCACGGTAGGTAAGACACCTGCAGGGCAGCAGCAGTCACGGGGAAGTAGAGATGGAAGCAGACCTGTTCCTCTAAGAGTTTGGGTCACAAACAAGATAAGCAGGTGTAGGCTCCCGGGTACCTCCCAGGCACAGACTGCTCCTCCTGAGAGCTCAGCGTCACTCAGGTGCCTTGTCCTGGGTCCTCCTGCTGGCAACGCTCAGATCAGACCTCGGCCCTCCTAGGGCCTCCCAGTGGACACCACAAACAAGGTTCCAGGGCACGGAAAGGCACAGGGAGGCGCTCTCAGGAGAAGGGGCCAGTGGATGAAGCTTGCTGGGTGAGAGGCGCGCAGGTGGGGTGTGTCAGAGGCGCCAGAGAAAGGGTTTTCAGGTGGAGGCACAGAGCGTCTACCAGGAGGACCCTGGACGGAAGACTGCCCCCGGGACCACCGACCAAGGATTGGAGAACCTTCTAGAGAATGAGAGGCTTTCCTCTGCCCTAGGCCCTGCCATTCATTTGTGCCTACCGTTTGCCTTCTTTTTACTATTGGGGGACTTGCCTCAGTGGTCTGAATTTGTCCCTAACTAGATTTTAAGCTCCTGGATGATGGCTCCTGTGTGTCTAGGGCAGCCGTGGAGGCAGGCTGGGCTCCTAAGGGGAGAGAGGCTGGAGCTGATAGCCCAGCGCCGAGCTGGAGACAGGGCCTGTGGCCAGGGGTCTCCTTCCTCCCAGGCCCAGCACAGACTGAGCTGCAGGGAGCAGATGGGCTCAGTCTAGATACGGGCAGAGTGAGGCCAGGAGGTTCTGGAGTGCGGGGGTGCTCCAGATAGACAGAATTGGCTTCCGGTGAGTCTTGAAAGAACCGCATGCCCCTTCGAAGTAGGGACCTGAGGGCCGGCTCCTGAGGCCTCAGCTGCAAGGGAGCGTGGGGTGCAGGACACTAGAAGGCAGCTGGCTCTCAACTGGGTACTTCCTGGGGATGCTCGCTGTTTACATACACTTGATTGAAGTATAACACATACTTTGGATACTAGCTTGTGTTGTATTTATGTGTATTTATGTTGGAAAAAAGCTGATGAAATATAGATTAAAGGTTAACATTTCAAACCTCTAAGGGAAAACAGACTCCATATTGAAACAAGCACGATGAGAGACGGGCGTGAAGTGTCCCACCTGGGGCTCAGCGGTGCAGGAGCCACGGGCAGCTCTCCAGGACCAGCCCCAGGGGAATGTGAGAAGGCAGGTGCTCCAGGAAGGGAGCGGCCTGAGATCCCAGAGACCGGAGCATCTGCAGCCTGCAGCGCTGAGCGGGTCCTTTGCTGCAGGATTCCGCAGAGCCTTTCCTGTGTGCTGTCATGACACAGACGTGGCTGCAGCACCCCAATGAGCCAGGGACAGCACCCTGTCCTCCGTGCACCCTGGTCCCACCTCATAACATGTTCTGGTCCACACAGCTCGGCCACCTGCCCTGCACAGAGGAGTTCTTCGCTTCCCTGAAGGGCTCACCTGCCCCATCACATGCTTGTTTGTGGCCGGGTCAGACCAGAGGCCAGCGTTCCTGGTGGTGGCCGTGGCCCATCGCGCTTGTTAGTGGCCGGATCAGACCAGAGGCCAGTGTTCATGATGGTGGCCGTGGCCCATCGCGCGCTTGTGAGTGGCCGGATCAGACCAGAGGCCAGCATTCGTGATGGTGGCCATGGCTGGTGGTTTTCGTTCTGCAGCTTGCCTTGGCTGCATGGCATTCTGGCCCAGTCATTCTAAAGTGGGACACTCTTGGCCTAAATCCTGTCTAAAACCAAAAAGCAGTGTACCAGCGGTCACCTCATCTCCTTCCTTCGCCCACCCAGGGTCTCAGAGCTGGGTGGGCAGGATGGGATGAAGGAAGCATGGGCTGTGCTGTGGAGGGTTCGGGTGGGGTGGGAAGTCCCTCAGCCCCAGCACAGCGGCTTGTTCTGGGCCCTGCCAGGTTGCTTTACTCCAGCAGGTAAATGAGAGGGTGACACATTCCTGCTCCAGAAGGATCTGGGGCCATGTAAGCACCGTCCCAGCAAGACAGGACCGTAGTGCACTTGAGCGGTGGTGACCAAGGGTCCTTGCGGCAGATCTGAGATGACTGATTTTTTTAAAAGAACTTCTAGGTGTCTGTGTCCTTTATTTCCCCTTTGCCCAGGACCGTGGGTGCAAGTGCAGGCGTCCAGCAGGCAGGCCATTGACACCCACTTGGAGGGCGAGTGCCTGGGTCCCCGCTCCACGTGTCCTGTTCGCTCCCAGCCGCTGGTGTCCCAGGGCGGCCTGAATGTGCTTGATTTGGGTTTCAGGGTTTAAGACGTCAGGTGGAAGTTTTCTATAAACTTCAGCTTTTGTTCTCTGTAGTTGAGTTTCCTTTTTTGTAGTTACACAGTATAAGGGAAATGCAGTGGGTATCTTCTTCCCGCCCTCTTTACCCAAGTGCCTGATGCCTGGCTCCAAGTGCTGGGGTGGGAAGGTCGGGGCATCCTGTTACAGCCAGACAAGAGTGGGCAGCTGCTGGCAGTGGGGAGCCCCCCACGGACTTGGGGCTTCCAGATCGTGTATACAGATGGGCCTAGGGACTGGTGTCCATGCAGCATTCTTGTCTGACCAAGACGGTTTGAATCCAGCCGATACTGACCCTGACTCCCCCTCTTCCTGGTCTCCCGGAACCTCCCGGTCCCAGCCTCCTCTGAGTCAGTTTCCCACTGTGTCCTGCTCCATCCTGCTGGTGGCTCACAGGACCCTCCGCCCTCCTTGCAGCTCCATCTTTCTCCCGTGAGGCTGGCTGAGCTCCACGCTGATCTGAAGATGCAGGAGAGGGACGAACTCGCCTGGAAGAAACTGAAGCTCGAGGGCCTGGACGAAGACGGGGAGAAGGAAGCGAGACTCATACGCAACCTCAGTGGTACGCTTTTTCTTTTTCATGCAGGTGGAGTGTCTCTTACCCTAAACGCTTGAGACCAGCAGTGTTGTGGATTTCGGATTTTGGTTTGGATTTGGGAATGTTTGCATTATGCTTCATCTGGATATCCAAAATGAGCCTTTCCCCGGGCATCCTGTCAGTGCCCAGAAGGTTTAGGGTTTGGGGTGGGGGCTTCCAGTTGTGAGGGAGGTGGCCGATGGCCTCAGTGCTGCAGGCCACGCCTCTGACTCCTTGGCTCTTGGCCAAGGGGCCCATTGGGTGCAGCCTGCAGGGGCTCTCGTCCGTGCACAGATGCGCCCTTACCCATGGTCTTGGCTTCTTTGCTGTCACAAGTGCCATTGGCACGCTGGAGGGAGGGCCAGGACTGGGATGCTGGGCACAGGAAGGGGCCAGAGGACAGGCAGCAGGAGGCTCTATCACCCCGAGGAGGAAGCAGGCCTGCCCCAGCATCTTGAAGTTTTGGGGACATATTCTGGATGTTGTTGGAATAGGTTCCTAAGCGTCAAAATAGACGCCACTGTGATGTAGTTAGTGAGCCTCTTGTCACTGTGGGTATTCAAGACAAGGCAGGACAGTCGCCTGCTTGGTACCAGCATACAGAAGCCAGGAGGGTTTTAAAGGACAGCGTTGTGACTGTTCCTTTTGGACCCCTCTCCTCCACCATCCTCCTCGCCATGGGCCTTTGGCAGGGCACCGGTGGGATGAGGGCAGGCACCCGGGCAGCCTGTGGGACTGGGGTTGGGGCTGCTCCAGGGAGTCGCATGCCCAGCTGCCTGCTGTCATCTACGAGCGGCGGCCACAGGGGCTGTTGCACCTCCACCAACTGCTCCCCCCAGGCCGGACCCCAGGCACTCCTTCCCCAACCCCCGTCCTCCCCCGCTGCCCCGTGTGACCTGGGCCCCGGCACGGTCCCCCCAGCCGTCCTCCTGTCTCACAGGATGGTGGCTGTGAACCAAGTGGGATACTCCGCATTGGGGGTGGGGTATCTTGTCTCGAGGGTGGCCCCGGAGCCCTGGCTGTGCCTGGAGGCTGCTGTAGCCCTGCTTTTGACACGTGCTGGTGGCCTTAGGCATTGCAGTGCCCAGGTTGCCCCTGGTAAGGAGGGGAGCTGTCTGTGGAGTCCCTTCGTGAGGCCTGATGCTGTGACACCTACTCCTCCCGACTGTCGGTCGTCCCGTTTGACAGGCTCAGAGAGGGAGTCACACAGCCCAGGAGTGCAGCAAAGGTTCGGAGCCAGGGTTTCCTGACGCCAGAGCGGTGTTCTCCGGGCCACCCCTCTTCTCCCATCGCAGGCATCACCACACGTGGCACGTGGCTGTGCCCAGGTTAAAGGCCGAGGGCTGGCTTCACTTTTGCTAGTTTATGTGGCCACGTTCAAGAGTCTGGGTGGGACATAAGCCAAGACATGGCAGCAGGGAAAGAAGACACATTTGAAATAATTCCCCACCAGCGTGTCTAGAGGGCCATTCCAAAGGGCCAGGACAAAGCCTGTCCTGGAGGTGCCCCCCCAGCGAGAAGGGACTGGCTGTGCGGCAGGGCGGCGCTCCAGGCCTGGAAGAGATGGAGGGGCTTGCGGGGGCACAGAGGTGGGCTCAGGACCAGCTCCCTCCTGCAGGCCAGGCAGTGTCTTTGCAGGAGGCAGCTTCTGGCCTGGATGGAGTCCAGGTCTGTGGCCCAAGTGGAGCCATCTTGTTTTCTGCCATTGCTGAGTGACCTGGCAGAAGACTTGGTAGGACTCGGGAGCAGGCATCCAGAGGCAGACCCTGCCCACGTTCAGGAGAGAGGCCTATCCTGGCCCACTGCCCACTGTCTTCTGGGGGTGGCCCCTGTACCCCCAAGATCCCCTGCATTATCAAGGTTGATACCGTGCTTCGGGGACCAGCAGTAGCTAGGTATGCCTGGGCAGCTAACTGGTGGGCCAGCCCTGGCACCCCCAGGCTGAGGTCCACCCTGAGATGGACCGCTCTCTGCTCTGCCCTGGGGTTTGCTGCCATCCTCACCCCCACTGTACACCTAGGACCCCTTTACTCCCCAGGCAAGGAGTGTGGGGCGGGGTCCGTCCTCAGGCGGGGAGTGTGGGACGGGGTCCCCTCCACAGGAGCTTTGAGGGCTCAGTGCTCCTAAGGCCACCTCCAGCTTCAGTGACCATTCCTTGCAGAACCCTGCACCTCTAAAATCCAGAATCTTCCATAGTCTCTGCTGCTGATTGCAGCCTTGGGCACTCTGCCTTTTGATGGGGTCTGACCAGCCACTTTGGGATCTGTATCAGAGCCCAAGGACATGGCCCACCCTCCCTGTCTCCCCATCTCCTCTCAGGCTCAGGAGTGTACAGCCCAGGGGTGTGACCTCAGTGCCACTGAGCAGTGGCTGGACGCAGGCTGGGCAGGACAGCCTTCACACGCAGGCAGCACCATTTCTGAGGCCAGGAGGCATCCAGGCCACCTTTTTAAACAGTGTGTGTTTTTATGTATTTATTGGTTATTTTCTTCTCCCCACCGCCAGTACTATTTGTTTGTTTATTTATTTTTAAAGTCAGGGTCTCACTATGCTGCCCAGGCTGGTCTTGAACTCCTGGGTTCAGACAGCCCGGCCTGAAATAGTTATTTCTGGTATAAATTCCTTGCCATGAAGACCGACCCAGCAGGGGATTGAGTTTTGAAGCGTGCGTGTGTGGGACCCGTGCCTAGCGCCAGCAGCTCTTGACAGCTGTCGGGAGAGGCAGCTTTCTGCAGTAGGAAGAAGACCGCAGGCTGGTTTTTCAGACTCAGGAAGATCACGAGTGCTTCCAGCTGGAATGCGAGGAGCACACGCTGCCCAGCCTGGAGACCCCCGTGGCCCAGGCTTCTGGATAGAATGAGACAGGAGGGGTCCGAGGCCAGGCCAGTGTCAATGAGAAAGGAGGCCTGAGGCTTCTGGGGTGTTCCTGGGGCAGGGACACTACCCAGGGCTGACAGTGACCCAGGATGGACCCTTGGGAGAGGTGCAGAGGTGGGGCCTGCTGAACCCGGAGCGTGCGGAGGCCCCACTGGGAGTAGTTCTGTCCAGTAGGGTCACAGGTGAAGGCCCAGAGGAGGCACTGGGGTCGTGGAGTCACCGCCTGGGTGAAGAGGTCCTCGGAGTCGGGGGAAGGCTTCACGCCCAGCGTCTGGGGAAGGTGGATTAGGAGCTTGGGAGAGGCCCTCTCAGCCCAGAGGGGAAGGCAGGACCCAGTTCTACGGGAGGTGGGGCCCTGGGAGAATTCCCCCAGCCCCCAGGAAAGGGCGGAAAGGCCCACCAGCTAAGGAGGCAGGCGGGGCTGCACGGGCTCCAGACCCAGGGGACCTCGTGGAGGGCCTGTCGCACAGAGCCACAGCAAGGGCCTTGGAAATGGGAACTGGGCCTCAGGAGAACAGCTTTCCCTTAGAGGGGAGGCCAGCCCCCCCACGCTCTGCTCTCCTGTCCCAAGCACCAGACTTGTTCACAGCCGGGTGCTGCCAGCACCAGGGACCGTGTTGAGCGCCTGCTTTCATGCCATGTTGGTGGCAGTGTGTGGTGACAGACACAGCCCACAGATGCCGAGGCCCCTGGGGAAGTGGGGCTGGGGAGCACCACGTGGGCAGATCCTAGAGGCCTCCCGAGTGGCTGGGCCACCGCACGCCACAGACTAATTATCTTCCTGGCTGCTGACGCTGAAGCTTCTCCTTTAGAAACTGTTTTTCCTCCCAATAAAAATAAGATGTGGGCTATCAGAAAGCCCATCACCCTGCACACTCTGCAGGTGGCCTCTGCCCTGTGGTCGTTAGAGTTTGCCCCATGGCAACAGATGAGGCTACAGATTTTGTTCTTGAAAATGTGTGCCACTGGTCTGCAAAGACAGGCCAGTGGGTAACCACTTCCACGGCGGCCCAGCCCCCAGCCGCTTCTGACAGCTGCGTCCAGAGGGACACAGCTTGGTGGAGGAGTCTAGCGGGGGCATCCCTGGTCGGAAGAGGGAAGTCCTAGGGGCGTCCCATGAGTCACCAGACCTGTTCCTGTGCGCTGGGAGACCGCAGTCCCCATGCTTGTCTGCTTCTTGTTCCTGCCAGATCTCCAGTGGTCATCCAGGAAATGGGTGAAAGGAGACTTCCAACAAATGAGAGGCAAACCTGTCCCACCCACCGTGGCAGCCCAGATGTGTTGGCTGTAGACTGTTTTTCACAGGAAACCAGATCAAACAGACCCTCCCCTCTCTCCTAGTCATCCTGGCCAAGTATGGTCTGGACGGGAAGAAGGACACTCGGCAGGTGACCAGCAACTCTCTCAGTGACTCCCAGGAAGACGGGCTGGATGACCCCAGGCTGGAAAAGTTGTGGCACAAGGTACTCCTCGATTGCCTGCATACCCTGCAGAATCTGTGCCGTTATGTCAAGTGTTAAGGTGGTGGGGGCGGTGAGGGGCGGTCTCTGCTCTGCGTGGGAGCCGGGGCTTGGGGGAGTCTCAGGAAGACAGTGGCTTCCTCAGGAAGCTGTTCTCCCGTCTTTCTGTGAACGCCTTCAGCTTTCCTGTGTAGAAAAGCACTTGCTCTTTCAGTAAGGAGTTGTGTTTGGCCTGCAGCTGTCAGACCTTCAGCTCGGATCTTGTGTAGTTACGGGGTCATGGCATAGCATGGGCTGAGCTGTTGACTCATGTCTAGTTTTCAATTTAGTGAGTGGTGCTGTGGACAGGCCTCTGGGATTAGTAAGGTGCCTTGGCCAGGGGATGGTGTGTAGGGCTGGGTTTTCACCCTGTGCCCAAGAAGGGTGTGGGGTGCTGGTGTGGGGCCAGGCACTGGAACCTGGTAGACCACAGCAGGGCGTTTACCTGCTTCAGCTCCCCCACTTCCAGCAGCTTCTGCTCCAGAACAGTGTGTCTGGATCACATTGATTTGGGGCCAAGAGTGGAACTTCTCATCCCAGCCCAGCCACAGCTCATTGTCCTTGGCCGGGAAAAGTGGAGTCGGTGGAGGTGGGCAGAGAGGGAGAGCCGGTCCTATGTGGCCTCCCTGGCCGTGTGTGATCCATGTCACCCCACAACTGGAGGCAGGTGGGATGACAATGAGGGGCTGGCAGTGGTCTCCCTAGGAAGAGGGAGAGCCGGGCGAGCCTGGGGGCTACCGGACTGCCACCCTGTTCCCCACCCAGCCAGCTCCGTAGCCATCCCCCATTGAGCCTGGACTGGTCCTAGAGGAGGGCAGTTGCCTGCCAGCAGCCCTTCCCCAGTTTGTTTTTTGTTTTCCTGCCCTACCCAGCCTAATAGCGGCCCAGGAGGGTTGTGAGGGCAAGAACCGGGCCCGGCACTCGCACGTGGGCAAGGGCCTGCCTGGCCAAGGGGAATAGTCAGCTGATGAGCGGCCCCAGCCACAGGAGCCCACGGTGGGTTTCACTCTAGGCCTTGTCTCCCTCTTAGGCAAAGACCTCTGGGAAATTCTCCAGCGAAGAACTGGACAAGCTCTGGCGGGAGTTCCTGCATCACAAAGAGAAAGTTCACGAGTACAGCGTCCTGCTGGACACTCTGAGTAGGACTGAAGGTGCTCCCTCCCCGGCCCCTCCTGCACGCGGGGGCTTGCTGCGCTCTGGGCAGCCCCGGCCCACCCCCCGGGACACAGCTGGGGCAGGGAGGACGCACCGCATGCCGTCTCCCAGGGTTCCCACCAGACTTGTGAGTGGGAGGTTGCAGTGCGGGCAGGGCCAGTTCTGAGAGTCGCCCGCTTGTATTTGGTTGAATAAACCGGGTCTTACCAGTGCCTGTCCGCACCATAGGCACAGCTGCTGCCTTCACCAGACCTGAGCTTCGCTGATGGGTCCTTCATTCTGGACCCTGGACCCTCCCCAAGTAGTGACTTTCCCACGCTACAGTGTTGGAGTAAAATGGAGGAGGTGACCCAGCAGAGGGTGGGGGCAGGGATCCAGAATCAGCCCCCAGGGGACCTGATGCCCCGGCCGTCACGGCCAGGCACCGCTTGGCGTGTGTTGCAGCATGGAAAGGAAGTGGTCCCGACGGTCATTCTGAACTGCAGGAGTGGGGGACGTTGTCAGTCGGAAACGAGAGCGAGTTTGCGCTCCCCCTCAGTGGGCATTCCAGATGGTGCTCCGGGCGGGCAGGGTGGGGGCTCCCAGTCTCATGGCTCCTGCCTTGGGTTTTACAGAAATCCACGAGAACGTCATCAGCCCTTCAGACCTGAGCGACATCAAGGGCGACGTCCTGCACAGCAGGCACATGGAGCTGAAGGAGAGGCTGCACAGCATCAACCAGGGCCTGGACCGCCTGCGCAGGCTCAGCCACCAGGGCTACGACACCGAGGCCGGTGAGTGCCCGCCCGGGGCCTCTGCCTACCGGGACTGTCGCTTCCTGAGGACGGGCTGTCTCTGGTTGTGTTTTGGGGTCAAGCAGGCGAGTGCTTGGAGCGATGGGCGCCTGGACCCGTGGACGCAGCGGAGGCCCTCGGTGCACTGTCTGCCCAGGGGTGGTCACGGGGCTCGCTCCCAGCAGCTGCTCCACGAAGGTCACTCACCGTCCCGGGCCCTGTTCCTGGAGACTGGCGGAGGGCAGTGGCGGCGGTGGGCCCGGGAGCAGTCCCTCCCAGCGTCTCCCCAGCCCCCGCAGCGAGGCTCCTGCCATTCTGTTGTTGGCTGAGAGCAGAGACCAGTTGTCGAGCACAGCTCTGTCTCCGTCTCATGCCACCCGCACTGTGCGTTAGCACCCTCAGCCCTGCAGGGGTAGGATGCCTGATGAGCCACAGAGCACATGGCTCCATCTCAGCAGCTTGGTCAGCCTCCACCGCAGGCCCTTGGTGGCCGGGCCCTGTGCCACTGCTTCTTGCACAGGACTCAGGCCCGAGCCTTGCGCAGGGTTTACCAGAAGCCTGCCGGCCGCACTCGCGAGCCTTCCGAATCTGCTCCTCATCCTCCAAGTGCGCACTGAGCACTGCCTGTGTACCAGGCCCTGCTCTAGGCTGGAGGAGGCAGCCGCTGCCAAGAGATGCATTTGTGCCCTCAAGGTGGTAAGACAGCGGGGCTGGTGTCTGTCCCTGGTGCCAGCCAGAGCCGCCACCTCCTGTCCAGGATGGCGCCTGCAAGGCCTGGCCAGAGGCAGCCTCCAGCACGGCAGTCAGATGTGTCACCTGCGTGCTCTTGGGCAGGACCCCTCACCACCCACCCCCAAACCCCGGGCTCTCTCAGCCCAATCTGGTGCTGGTGATGGTGTCAGTCGGAGGCCTTGGCCTTGGTAAGAGGGCTGTACCACCCCAGAGGCCGCTGTGCAGTTCACCGAGTGCCTGTGCTAGAGAGACCCGCGTGAGCCTGGCTACAGTCCATGCGATAAGGGTGACTCGGCTCCACACACTCCTCTCCCACCTCGAGCTGTCCCCAAGGCAGCTGCGCCCAGTGGCTCCTGCAGTTCTCTTTCAGGTCTGCCTGGGCCTTCCAGCAAGCCCTGCCAGCCCTGAGCCCTCAGTTCTGAGCAGGAAGGGTCGCAGAGGAAGGAATGGGGCCACTCTTCGGGGCCCCCTGGGCAAGCGGATCTGGGCCACTCGCTCCTGAATGGAGAGGTGACAGCCCCAGCCTCTCCCACTGTATCCCCTCGTGAGCACAGGGTCCTGGAGCCGACTTAGTTTGCCTGGCTCTGCCCAGGAGCTGAAGGAAAACGGCCTGTGCCTCCCTCCGGACCTGGGTGAACTTGTGGCCCCTCCCGAGGTCCTGAGCAGCCTCTCCAGCAGGCCGCCTTCCACCATCCACCACCTGCTTCAGAGGCAGCCAGGCAGGCTGTGGCACTTCCCAGGCTCTGGTACAGGCAGGTGTTTGTGGACACAAAGGAGAAGTGGTCGCTTGTCCAAGGGCAGGGAAGCCACATTTCGGCGAGGTCACATGAGCTACAGAGCAGACGCCCTGTGTGCCCCATAGGACTCGTCAGTGCACCTGCGCCCGCCTCACGCACAGGCCTGCACACCCTCACAGGCTCCACGCGCACTTCCCATGGGGCTGGCTGGGGCGTGCACCCGGGCGCTGCTGAGGCCATTCTTGCTCCTCCACTGCAGAGTTCGAGGAGCCCAGGGTGATTGACCTGTGGGACTTGGCGCAGTCCGCCAACCTCACCGAGAAGGAGCTGGAGGCACTCCGGGTAAGGAGACGCAGCCCCATTCTGTCGGGCTCTCCTGTGGTGAAGATGTCCTTGCAGTTTGTTCCTTAACCACTCGGGGAACCTGTTTTGGTTCTTATCTGCACGGGACCTCATGTTTCAGGGGCGGGGCCATGGCCTGGAGGGAGGACCTTGGTTCCTTTGTGCATGTTCACGTCTGAGCATGGGCTTGGTGTGGGTCCTGCGGATGGTCAAGGATTGGTCGGAACTCGGCCACGGAATGGGGGGAGGGGACCAAGGACAACTGCGATCGTTTAGGGGTATCACAGCTTCCTGAGATGGGGACCCAGGGAGAGAAGGAGACCACCTCAGGTGGCAGGGGCTCCTGGGGCGTATGGAGCTGGGGGCCCTGGGTCGGGTGCAGGGGTCAAGGCAGGGCAGGGTGCCTTCAGGAGCTGCAGTCCGGCTGAGGTGTTGCCCAGGCAGGCTGAGGGCAGGTGCAGAGGCAGAAGCACAGGTATGCACAGGGTCAGCCACCTGTGCAGCAGAGACACAGCCCCTGGACGTGGGGTCAGGCCAGGAATGAGCTGGGGGCCCCCAGACGGGCAGTGGGTTGGCTTAGGCTGCCGAGGAGGCGCAGGCTGGGACCCATTGCTGGCATGATGGTCTCCCAGCTGCCACTCTGTCATTGTCCATGTCACTGCAAGGCCTGTCCTGCCCTGGGAATGGCACCATCCCTTGCGGTCCGTTGGCGTCCCTTGTTTAGCTGGGACCGCAAGATGGCATGGCGAGCACAGGGAGGGAAAACTCACCTGTGGGAACCTTCTTCCAGGAGGAGCTCAAGCACTTCGAAGCCAAAATCGAGAAGCACAACCACTACCAGAAGCAGCTAGAGATCGCGCATGAGAAGCTGAGGCACGCGGAGAGCGTGGGCGACGGCGAGCGTGTGAGCCGCAGCCGTGAGAAGCACGCCCTGCTGGAGGGACGGACCAAGGAGCTGGGCTACACGGTGCGTGCGGGTTCCGGGCCTGGGGAGGCCACAGCTCCCCTGCCGAGAAGACAGGGCTTCTCCTAGACGGGGTGTGGGCTCCACGCCGTGGTCTCCCTGTCCGGTTGAACCCCGGGGCTGCAGGTATGTGGGGCGCTGAAGCCTACTGCAGCCTCCAGGGGTGCTCCGCGGGCGTCGAGTCGAGTGCGGCCCCCCCGACCCCAGATGTGGGCGCAGGCCTGGGCAGGCCACTGCCTCGTTCTCTGCTGTGACCAGGTTGGGGCACGGCCTGGATGCCCACAGCCAGCTACAAGTCAGGGTACTTTCCGGCCCTTGAGACTGGCGAGATCCTTCCCCACAGCCCCGGGTTAGATGTGAGGAGACGGGGAGCAGAGGCCCCCACAGAGGCTGGAAACGTGGAAGCTCGTACCAGTGCCTTCCGGATGGAGCTGGGTGACTGGGGGTCAGGGCGTGTGGGAGCCCCATCTGTACCTTTTGAACTTTGAACTGCAGGCATGTGTTACCAGCTCAAAGATAGGAAAGGCCTGAAAAATAAACGAAGGCAGAGGTTCTGATAGGAGAGGGTGGTGTGGGTCTGCCAGGAGAACATGCCAGAAAGCAGCCTGCGGCCCAGCACCCAACCATGGGCAGGAGCTCAGGTCCGGGGTGAGCACCACTGTGTGGGGGGTTTGCAGGGCGCCCTTTAGACTGACGGGAGGTTAGCGTGTGCTTGGCCTCACTTGACCACAGCAGAGCAAGGTTTCGGTTAGCAGAGCTGTGTGGCGAGGCCTCCGAGACCCCACACGGGTGGGGCAGAGGGCAGAGGGCGGCTGAGAGGAGGGACCTTGGTGAGTCACTCGCCCTGAGCTTCGGGCTCCTGTGGAGAGGGAGGAGGCGCCCATGAGCAGGATTTGTGAGAATCTGGGGAGCCACAGTGAGCCCGGCCCAGGCTGGGCTGACACGGCACCCACCACCCCTGGAATAGTGTCTGGGGATGCTCTGTGCCACTATGGTGCGAGGAGCTAGAGGTCCCTCTCCTTCCCTCCTAGGCCCCAGGAGGAAGGCGCCTTTCCCAGAACCCAGTCCCAGTCCGGTCCTCCCCGTCATCATTTCAGCTCGTGACAGGCTCACACCTGTAATCCCGGCACTTTGGGAGGCTGAGGCGGGTGGATCATCTGAGCTCAGGAGTTCAAGACCAGCCTGGGCAACGTGGTGGAACCTGTTTCTACCAAAAATTCAAAAACTTAGCTCGGCGTGGTGCTGTGCACCTGTGGTCCCAGCTGCGTGGGAGGCTGAGGTGTGGGCGTGGTGCTGTGCACCTGTGGTCCCAGCTGTGTGGGAGGCCGAGCCAGGTGTGGTACTGTGCACCTGTGGTCCCAGCTGCATGGGAGGCTGAGCAAGGCGTGGTGCTGTGCACCTGTGGTCCCAGCTGCGTGGGAGGCTGAGGTGTGGGCGTGGCGCTGTGCACCTGTGGTCCCAGCTGCGTGGGAGGCTGAGGTGTGGGCGTGGCGCTGTGCACCTGTGGTCCCAGATGCGTGGGAGGCTGAGGTGTGGGCATGGGCTGTGCACCTGTGGT